CCCCCCCCCCCCCGCCCTTCAAAGAACTGTGGTGCCTGAGCCAGGCACAAAATCATGTCTCAAGTTGGCAGTTGATGCGAAACTGCAAAACCAGGTGCCTCTCCACACTGGGGTTTGTTCAATAGCCAGGATCAGAACTTAAACTGAAATGCTGCAAAAATGCAGAGGGCCTGGTTTAGAAAGGGAAATAAAAGCTTTTTGTGCTTGTTATCATTACATCAGGAGCATTCAGAAACCCTTGGGCAGATCTGAGGCAACCCAGTAGATCTTTACCTTCTGCCTCCATCCCGTCTACTCTGATAACCCGTTTGTAAGGTTTTGTGCAAAGAAGCCTTGGCATCCCTTGCCACTTGATCCTTTAAGCTGGAGATGTTAATGAATGGATCTTCTGGTAGACTGGCTTGCAATTCTCACAAGGACGTAAAAGTAAATGCCAGGCATCTTTGTCCAGGATGGACTGCTCCTCAACAGTCCATATACGAAGGGTCACCTCAAGTCTGCTGGCTTGCTGCAATTCTTGGGCTAGCTGTTGATCCAGCCCCATGACTGCTTCTTATGCTTACAAACAAAACCGCAAAACAGGATCTCTTCACACAGACAGATTAGTCCAGAATGAAAAGCTTCTGAGGTTGTAACTGCACAACGTACCAGTGGTAGTCGGTACATAAAGCTTGGCTAAAGTTAACTTGCCCTGTTAGAGGGTACCCAGCCATTTTCAAACATTTACTCACACAAAAAGCATCAAATGTCAAAGAGATTGATCAAAATACCCTTTTTGCACACCTCCCGTGCATCTGCAATTAAAATCCGTGCATCTCAAGAGGACATTTTTGCTCCCTCTGCAGCATGATTAACAATCATAAAGGCAAACAGACGGCGGGGGGACCAAGGACAGCGTTCTAAGGGGTCAGGTGTGAACGCCCCAACAGTATAAGCAGGCAGACCCAGGGAGTGAAACGGGCATCCAGCCATTCAACCAAGCCCATTCCCAGGACTAAGAAAGACAAGCATGGCAATCAGGGTGGCTACCACAGGCCAGAGAGGGGATTTTCCAATGTTTTCAATGCAGGCTGGTCGAAAGGGGAGAAGCAAGACCGTGTCCCGAATTAATTAACCTAGAGTAAAATGACGTCACCCTGTTGTCTGCGCTGCAAACAACAAAAAAAGGAGAGCTTCTTCGCGCTGCCTCCAACATGGCGCCCTCTGCCAGCTCGCCCAGAATCACCGGGGACGTGGTCCAGCTCCGGAGCATCTGGAGGGCGTCAGGCTGGGAGAGACCGGTCCATTGTCCATGGCCATCTACGAATGAGATTTCAGTGGGGCTGATTTGCAAGGAAGCGCGCCCAGAAAGGCGCTGAGACATTATGAATGAGGGTCTTGGCGCACGAAAGAGAAAGCGGGGGAGAGACGCTTTGGAGCAGGGACGCACAGAGGCTGGCTCTGCAGCCCGGTTGAAAGGGAGCAGGGCGCGTCGCTGCAGATGCAGATGCAGCTGCAGCTGCGCTCGTGGGAACCGAGAGGCGAGGGATCCTCCGCGACTCCGACTGCAAGCCCAGCTGCTCCCCCGTCCTCGGGGTCCAGCCGGAACCGTCCCTACCCCAC